ATTCATATGCAGACAGAATCACGTTTATTGCCCATGCATCTAGCTTACATATAAATAAAAAAGGCTCAAGGATCATGCAACAATTCTTTGGCCAATCGGCCCCTGAATCACACAAGACTCGATCGCCGAGAACCAATCAATCAGATTTGCCGATTTGAAAAGACAAAGACAGGGAGTGGGGGAAGACAGTCCACATGTCTGTCTCGAAGGAAAGGAACTAAAAAAAACAACAAAAAGGAAATCCGAGATGCCGATCAAACAAAAGGACAAGGGCGACTTGCGCCGTATATCAAAAATTGTTTGGAAGAATAGGAGGAAAACCAAAATTACTTCGGAGGAAGAAAAAAAACTTTCACCATACACTTCCCGTCTCTCTCTCTCTTTACAACACCCCGATGCAGGAAGTCCGTCGCCTCGCACCATGCAAGCTAGGTTCGCCCATGCGCCACAGTCCGTCGCGGCCCCACGTCAACCCCGCATGCCCAACACCAACTCATTGGATCGCCCAACTCTCTACTCACCTTCCAACTCCTGCTCGTTAGCCGATCCTCTCAACCACGCTAACTCCAAAGATTCTTAGAGAGCGAGTTAATCGTGCTTGCAGGATTTATAGCATTCACGCTTGCCTGGGATACCCGGAGATGTGGCTGATCGAAAAAAGAAGGAGGAGGAAGGAAGTGTCTCCGTCTGCATGGCCAGGCCGCGGCGTGGGGGACGTAGCCTCACTCCACACCTCGATCTAGTTATGCAAGCATTCCGGCCAATTAGGACAGAGGAAGAAGCACGCGCTCACATGAACGCCACAAAAGATATCAAGAACATGAGGATTACGGTTGTAATTATGCCCGCAAAAAACCAAAAATTACATTTACATGCAAGGATAAAGACGCAGAAAAGTCATAATACAGATGCTGACGCGGCAAGGCGTGCGCAAGCAAGAAGCGTCGTACAACAGAAATTGAGACCCGCCTAAATTCCTAATCTAAATCCTAATTGCAAAAATAGATTCTGAACGAACAAATTTCGAGAGTCCGCGGGGGCTCGTCAACAATTGAAAATTCAAAAATGATTTTCACGAGCGATGATGATCGCGCCAAAATTCCTCATTCCAACTGCAGAACAAGAAGAAGCTATGGTTATTCTCCGCGCTCGCTAAGGCGCGATTGTCACCAACCGCCACGGACTATACTGGCCTCAAGCCCCGAAAAGAAGAAAAAGAACGAAAGACGAGGGCATTCATGCAGCTTGACGAACCCTTCCCCTCCCTACTCAATGAATCCCCGAAGTAGCCCTGCGCAAAAAGCCGCGCGGCCGCAGAAGACAGTTCGTCACATCACGTTGAAACGTGCTAATTTCTTTTCACCGATGTTGGCCACAAACCAGCGGCCAAGTACCTTTTCCAGCCGCCGGCCAGTGGGGTCCAAGCTTAAGTGACAAAATTTTGGACAACCACTTATAAAGCACTGGCATAAGTGTTATAGGCCTTCAATTCCTGAAATTTACCCCGTTGCCCTTTTTGTAGATAAATGTCACTATAATTGTGATCATCTCCACAGGGGGACTCGGAGACGCACCATTAAACCACCAGTACTTGGCCCAACTATCGATGCCGAGCCTGAATATGCCCTGCGCTCCGTTTCGCTCTGACCTGCCAGCGAAACAAAAAAAAATTGTTTTGGCTGGTGGCGTCAGCCTTTCAGGTCAGGTACCCCGAGCCTCCGAAACTTGCGGGGCCTCGCGACCGACATATGGGCCAAGTACTGGTGGTTTAAAAACCACTTGGAGGACAGTTGTTACAAAGGGCAACTTGAACAATTTCATATGGAGGCAGGGCTGTTAAACCACCAGTACTTGGGCCATACATCGGCCGCGGGCCTTCCCCGCTAACGCGCCGTAGCCTTAGGGGGTCAGCCAAGGGAAGGGCCGGTCGTTGCTGAATGGGCGGGCTCCGTGCTTCCAGGTGTGACACACACCGAAAAAAAAAGGAATTCATATGTGAAAAACGAAAGGAAAAAAAAAAAAAACGGTCAAAAACAAAAAGATGCACACGAGAGAGAGAGAGAGAGAGAGAGAGAGAGAGAGAGAGAGAGAGAGAGAGAGAGAGAGAGAGAGGTGGCGACTTTGCTGCGGCCCTCCATGCAGGTTGCCACCCCTCCTCTCTCTCTCTTTCTCTCTCACGCGCCTCTTTTCGTTTTTGACAGTTTGTTTCTTTTTCTATTCTCGTATTTGCTTGTTCTTTTCTTTTTCCTCCTTTCTTTGTATTTCTTTCAACAACAGCTCTGTCAACTCCAGGAATTGAACGCCCAGTGGTCCGAGCCTCGACACGGATCCGCCTACGGGTCGACCGAGGCTCGGACTTGACAGTTGGGCCAAGCTAACTTTCTCCATAGCAATTGGCTCAACCAATTTTTCGGCCGCTGAGGGAGACATAGTAGTACCAACAACAATCCAAACCGTGTCCCTAAACTCTTGCTCTTGCAACCATTGCTGCTCCCTATGTTTTTTTTTTTTTTTTTTTTTCCTACTCCTTATGTTGACCCTGGGCCGCCAACCATCGCTCATGAAATAAAGAAAACAAGAGG